CAGGAGGACACACAGGCAGTATACTGCCTTGACCACTGCAATAATGTTCGATAACTCAAAAACTAAAGCAGAACAAACGAACATTTTTGCAGCACAAACCTTCATAAACGATGCACAAACGATTACAAGACTTGGTGTTTTCAAAGTTTAGAAACACAGTGACTAAAGAAACATCAGTGGGCACGTTTTTGTAATTAGTCATGGTTCTCAAAGTTCATTATTTGTTGTTATTATTAAAGCTGTTCTATAAAGGTTAAAGCACCATATAAAAGTAACCCATTAGTAAAATATCCCGTGCGGTTCTCCTCCTCTGATCATAGCGGCATCCTTAGCAGCATTCTGTTATACAGAAATAAGAGACCCAAAATTTTACAATATTTTTTTCTTTGTTTTCCTGTAGCATCACAGACTATTCAAAGCCCTACTCTTCAGACCTTTCTGGAGTACAGAAAGAAGAAAGCAGAGGAGAGGCAAAAGTTTTCATGTGGGAAAAAGGCAGCAAAGAAACCAGAGAAAGTCCAGGCAAGTTGGGTGTGGCTCAGAGCGAGAGTGGGCAAAGTATCTTACAGACTATCTTTTGACATTCTCCATCATCTCACTTCTCTTAAACTAAGCCTGATGGCAGGCACAGTTTCATGTTAACCGTATATGACATATGATGACATATATTTTAGCTTGGCTTCGGTGCCACAACCCATGGTAGTCAGACAATTTCTCTGACTCTTTGTATTAACTTTGTATATATTTGCTAGTTTCTGTCCATAATGTATAATTAACTGTGGCATGCAAATATACATTATATTACCAATTAACTGTCAATTGATATTTAACATGACCCACTAACAGTCCACTTTTTAAAAAAATCTTGCAGATAAATGTTGGTCTGATGAGCATGGTGAAGGGAGGTGGTCTCAAGCCACTGCGTGGGAGAAGTCTGTGCCTTTCCACACATCCTGACATCACTGCCCCAGATCTGCTTGATCAGGCTGTGAAAAAAATGAAGGACTTCAATAAAGACCTCGATGATGGACCTTTCATCCTTCTTTATCCAGATTGCTCTGAAGTGGTCAATGTACCTGGCACAGAGACACCATTTATGTTAAAGACATACAAGGAGGAAATTGGCAAACCATATCAGCGCATCACCATTTACATCTGCTCCAAAACCGACTTTGAGGAAGGTAAATTGTGTTATGTCCTAGTTGTGTCCAGTGCAAAGATGCCTGGCTGTGTTATATAGATTTTGATGTAGACACTGGGTTTTTAAAAGATGAGATGTTTTAATGGCTTACCCTCACTTTTGGATTAGCAGTTATGAATTTTCACTGAATCATGTGAAATAGGTCCTTGGATTTTGTTAGTCTTTCCTCAATGTGTTTTCAGCATTCAATGTTCATGCTCAGTGAACCAGCTTGGAGTTAAAAAAGCATTTTCTCTATGTTTTAACTTCTTCTCAAGCATTTATCATTCAATTGATCTTAGTTTTGTTTAATGTTTTGCAGTTGGAAAATTGTCTGCCACATGTGACACTGACTCTGACCCTGAGATTGTTATAAAGAGAAATACAACGCTTGATCTCGCTGATACACTGGTAAGTGCAATTTTTACCCTATTTGGGTGACCATTTACTGGTGCTAAACAAATATTTGTCTTTACCACAGCCATTTGAACCTTATAACATGAGCAGTCCTGTACACAATGAGCCTGAAGATCTGTAAGTACTTATGGTGTGTGTGTATGTGTGTGTGTGTTTGATGTTTGCTTGCTTTTGTAATGTCACTTCTATATTTTGTAGTAAATTATGATTTCTGCTTCTATGCCCTCTCAGGAACAGTGCTAGGGGGCTTTCATTGTCTTCTGATCTGCCACAGGTAATGAGTTTTTAAAACGAAGTTTGTGTAGGGATCACTAGGTCAAAGATTTTAAAAATTGTTGATGGGCCACAAAATTGATATTGGTGCACCGATTTTATAGCTGTGTTTTTTTAGTTGTAATTTATGTCCTTGAGCACTCATGAGGAGCTGTCTTTATTTGCTAAAATATTTAGCATATTTCTACATTTCTATATTTCTTCTTTCTTTTCAGACCATAGTATTGGATAATGACCACGACTATGCTAGTCCCTCTGGATGTCATGATGTCAAGAGCTCATGTTACAGGTGTGTTATATCTTATCTTAAATGTTAAATGTTTGACAGAATACTTGTGACGCAGCCAACAAAGGTGTCGACTCGGAAATAAAACATTTCTGTCCTGACAAGGATAAGGTCTTATGTTTAAAGCAGAAGAATTGGTCAACCATTTGATAGGGCAAATGCCTGCATTTCTGAATTTATTAGTGCTTTGAATTGTTGATGTTCTGCGCAAATAATATCTTCCTTTTTCAGAACTTACACTGACCTCTTTGGACCTATCATCATTGATGATGATGATGAGGATGAAGTTCCCATTCCTGACAAAACACATGACATGGCTTCTGAAGAATTTGAGTGAGTCATAGACATTAGAAAATTAACCAACTGTGTGTTTTCCATAAAATTACATCATTCAAAAGTGAGAAGTCACTAAAATGAACACCTCAGACTTTCCCTGCCTGTAACTGCCTGCCTCAGGTCCAGTTGTTAAGATGTGTGTTTGAGTAGAGTCCATTGAAAAGAAGTTATTAAATTAAATGTGCTCATTGTTTCAGAGAGTGACTCATCGGCATCTCTTGTACATAAATCAACATTTAAGTATATTTTAGAGTGTAAAGTAAGTGTCTTACTTTTTTCTTTTCTTAAGACCTACAAGTGTGCAGGCAGCAGAAGTAATTGCAAATCTGGCACTTGCAATTGACCACAAGAAAGTCAGCCGGTTCAATATATCAAGATCTGATGTGTGGGATGGAGCTGTGCGCGGATTTCGACGCAGCACATACTCCGAATCCAGTGACATCTTCGTCAAGTTTACAGATGACGCCGGTTCCTTTGAAGAGGGGTTGGATACAGGTGGGCCAAAACGAGAATTCCTAACACTTCTCATGACTCACCTCAGAAATCGCCCCATCTTTGATGGACCTCCCGAAAGACGATATCTCGTGTACAATTCCACAGGTGGGTTTAAGAATAGGACAGATTGTATTTTAAAAATGTTAAGTTTCCAATCATTTCGTCATCATTTTTTTTTCAAGTGATGTAGATGATAATCATGCATAATTGTTCTCTAACCTCTGTAACAGCTGTCAGGGAAGACGAGTACTTTCTAGCAGGCAAGATGATAGTTGTTTCCATTATACACGGGGGACCTGCACCACATTTCCTCTCAAAGGACCTTGTCAATCACCTTCTAGGGAAGACAACTTTCAACGCCACTGTGGAAGATGTAACCGATGAGGAGTTACGGAAAGCTCTGCGTCAGGTAGAAAAAGATCTCAACTCATGGACTGAATTTGCTAAGGGGTCACATGAAAATTATTTCAGAAATTGAGAGTGGACTATGCTCAAGGTCATAAGTTATATTTATGTAAAGGGATGGATTTCTTATTATTTCAATGAGAAGTAAAGGCATTTAATCCTATTGGTATAAAATAATGACAAACATTTTCAGGATTTATATCTTTGTATTTTTCTTGCAATAATTGTTTTTGAATAGGTTCAGGAAGCTGAATCGGACGAATCTTTGCAAGATGTAATTTTGCAATACAGCACAATGTTCCAGACAGCTGGATGCCTCCGACGCACTAAAGTTCATGAGAGGCATATGCTCATAGAGGACTATCTGAGGTGGTACATCCTAGGACGCAACCAGATTGCCATTCAAAGGTAAGTTATCTTAGGCTGCTTTTTTACTAACGCTCGTCAATAATATTTTAGAAAAGTTTTTTTCTTTCCTCATCATTTTTTCTCTCCTCCTCTCATGCTCCTCTCGTCATCCTCCCCTCCTCTTCTCCTTTCCTCCTCCTACTTCTCTCCTCTCCTTCCCTTCCATTCTCTCCTCTTCTCCTCTTCCTCTCATGCTCCTCCTCTCCTCCCCTCCTGAGTGGGTGGCAGCTTTCAAAAGGTTGACAACCCCTGTCTTACACAATATTTGTCCTTAATAGATTCAAAGAGGGACTGGCAAGTCTGCAGTTTTTGACTGCTCTGCAGCAGCATTCAGGTGTGCTGGCTCCTATTCTGTGCCATTCTTCCAAGGCCCTGACTGCATCAGAAATGGAGAGCCTCTTCCGTCCAGACCGCAGCCCAAGAGGCAGCAACAGGTGGCAGAAGGAGAACCAAACAATTGGATTTTGGGCTGACTTTCTTCTGGATTGCGAAGGTTTGTCAAGGCTTTGTTAGATGTTTATTAATTGTAGTGTAGTTATATTTATAATTAGTATTTTCTCTGATCAAATATATGACTAACTAAAATGTTGACTTTTTTGTCCTTAGAAAAAGTGGCAGCAGTGTCCCTCGAAGATGTGCTTATGTTTGCCAGTGGCTTAGCAGCGCTTCCACCAGCTGGAATGACACCCTCTCCAAGTATAGAGTTTTTAATCGATTCTCCTTTTCCAATGGCGTGCACCTGCACAAACACTCTGAAGCTGCCGCTATTGGATACTTACAGAGTCTTTAAGACAAACATGGAGTTTGGAATCCAGAATGCTCCAGGATTTGGATGTTTTTAGCTGCCATAGGAACCTTTCAAGCATAAAAGCGATTTGTTTACCTTTGTGAGGGCTTATGTCTCTGCAGTTAGCTACATGCATAGTTTAACGTTCACCTGTGTGAGGGCTTGCATATATTTCAGTCTGTGCAGTTAGCTGTATGCACAGCTTACCCATTATATTATCTGGATCCTTTATGGTTTTCTTTTGTTTATTACTGGTTCTTTTCGTCTCTCAATAACTTTATTTATTTTAATTTTTTTATTATTATTTAAAATGTTGAAATAACTGCTGGACACTGTACAGTTTTAGTAAAAATGTTTAATAAAGTTATACCTGTCACAGTTTACAAAAAAATGAGGTATTCCCAATTCTTGTCCACAAAGATTCATAAAAATTTAGAATAACAACTAAAGTGGTTAAAAAATGCTCTTTTTTTTCAAATAATTTAAGTCAAAAACCAGTGCCTCCCACCACCATCTACACATATTAATATAACTATACACATTCTCACAACTGACAGTAGGGAGACATGGTTAGGCACTGAAGATCGGGGGAAACGCCAATCTGCAGGGCTGTTAACACTGGTTGGAGCAGCAGGGTAAGGACTGTGCCAGCAGCTGGACCCCCCTAAACTGACTGATGAGTGGACAAACATAGTGGAGAGCAGCCCGACCAAAGGGACCTGGGACTCAGTCTCTACAGCCCAGCTATTTGCTTCAGAGTGGTGTAAAGGTCTGAGGCTGTCCTCCAGTCTTGTGGCTGTTGTAGTCTGTTTTGTTCCACAGCCTGTTGTAGGTATTCCTCAATGTCTGCATCACTGTAAAAATCAATCTCTTGTCTTGCCTCGGGAAACACATCCAGCTCTGCATCTTCAACAAATAATCCACAGTCCCTTGAACCAAATCTGAAAAAAAAGATGATACACAGAAACATTTATCAACAATCGCAGAGACTGAGCCTCTAAATACAAGATTGTACTAACTTTTGCTCCTTGAATAAGCAGAGGAGAGAGAGAGGAGAGCATGGAGGAAGAAGAGGAACGAATAGGAGAGGAGAGGACCACTAGAGAGAACCACTGATGTAAACCTTTACTACCTGTGGGGCAAGAGATATAGTTCATTTGGGATCCCTCCTGGACATGATGCTGGTCTGCTTGGACGAATCCGGTGCTTATTCCACAGGTCCACGCATTCATCCAGGTCTTTCTGAAGGACTTTACTGAAGCAAAATCTCAGCAAACACTGGTGTTCGTGGCTGCCATTGAAAAATCCAGAGTCTCTCAGGTCTCCAAAAAGGTCCATCCAAAACTGAGACCTGGGGATACATTAGACATGAAGTTACTTACTTCACACAGAACAAATCAGACTGGAAACGTATTCAGCCACTGATATAATTGCATTTTGGCGGTAGAAACATTTCTATGCACTTTGTATTCATATGAAAAAGTTGAAGAACACATTTGAAACACTGAATTAAAGCTAATGCAAAGCTGTTTGTTATTTAATGTGAATACTCACAATGACAGACATGGGAGTGAAAAATCAACAGTGGACAAACACAGTCGATCACTATACAGTTACCAATAAACATTTCACCTTTCAATGATAGATTTGCCAACCTTCCTCTTCTGAAAAAAGACCACCACGACTCGATGCGCTGATTCCCTGTTGATGAGCCGTAACTGTGGCTGGACAAGCCTGCATAATAGTCCGTATGCCCATGGCGGAGGGTGCATTGTATTGCTGCCATTGTTCCGTTTTCTGTTCCGAGGTCAGTTCGTAATCGCATTGGAACAACACCAATAGTCCTGACGCAGTTTATGTAGTTGTGAGCGATGACAGATGGATTGTTGTTTGACGGTCCACAAACAAGCCACATGATTCTTCGTGAAAATCCATCTATGCATCCAGAGAGAGCCAGGCCAAATGGTTTGAGTTTATCGTATCCATCGACATGCCATATATAGTTTGGACCCATGGAGTGATAGGTACGCCGTGTGAACCTCCTGCGTCTCCTCAGAGCCGTCCGTTGTGGGCTCAGTTGTCTGAGCAACCTCATTACCACGTCACGTTTTACACGAAGTCCAAGTTTCTGTTGTAGGACTTGCCACATAGTCCGATATCCGAATAGTTGCCCTGGTCCATCAAGCTCGGTCAGAATTGCACGCCTCACCTCGAATATTGGGGAGTAGTTACGGCGTCTAAAGAAGCCAGCTTCTTTCAAGCAGGTCTTCAGCGTTCGAACGCTCATGCCAATGCCGTGAATAGTTGACAACATGTCGACTATAACGTCATATGTGTGTCCTGCATGAAAATATTGTTGGATAATTTCGAGCAAACTTTCGCTTTCGGCGTCCATGTTCGGGTTTACTTTCCCGTTCCGACATCCAGCAGGTGGCAGTAGTACTCCACCCCCAGCGGAGTAAACCGCTATTAAACTACAACGAAGAAGAAGAAGACCGATGATGCTGTCCTGTTTTGGGATTTGCGGTTGCGTTTTCTTTTTTGTGTTTGCATTTGTGATTTGCTGTCATGTTTTCTTTTTTTGTGTTTGTGTTTTCTCTTTTGTGTTTGTGTTTTGATTTGCTGTCGTGTTTTCTTTTTTTGTGTTTGTGTTTTCTCTTTTGTGTTTGTGTTTTGATTTGCTGTCGTGTTTTCTTTTTTTGTGTTTGCGTTTTCTCTTTTGTGTTTGTGTTTTGATTTGCTGTCGTGTTTTCTCTTTTGCGGTTGTGTTTTGCACTTCCAGGCCACCGTAGATATCCGAATAGTTGCCCTGGTCCATCAAGCTCGGTCAGAATTGCACGCCTCACCTCGAATATTGGGGAGTAGTTACGGCGTCTAAAGAAGCCAGCTTCTTTCAAGCAGGTCTTCAGCGTTCGAACGCTCATGCCAATGCCGTGAATAGTTGACAACATGTCGACTATAACGTCATATGTGTGTCCTGCATGAAAATATTGTTGGATAATTTCGAGCAAACTTTCGCTTTCGGCGTCCATGTTCGGGTTTACTTTCCCGTTCCGACATCCAGCAGGTGGCAGTAGTACTCCACCCCCAGCGGAGTAAACCGCTATTAAACTACAACGAAGAAGAAGAAGACCGATGATGCTGTCCTGTTTTGGGATTTGCGGTTGCGTTTTCTTTTTTGTGTTTGCATTTGTGATTTGCTGTCATGTTTTCTTTTTTTGTGTTTGTGTTTTCTCTTTTGTGTTTGTGTTTTGATTTGCTGTCGTGTTTTCTTTTTTTGTGTTTGTGTTTTCTCTTTTGTGTTTGTGTTTTGATTTGCTGTCGTGTTTTCTTTTTTTGTGTTTGCGTTTTCTCTTTTGTGTTTGTGTTTTGATTTGCTGTCGTGTTTTCTCTTTTGCGGTTGTGTTTTGCACTTCCAGGCCACCGTACTTCCTGCAGCACTGGAGCATGGCAGGGGGCGGAGCTGGCTCGGCTGATCAGGAACACACCTGCACCTCATTGTGCTCATCAGCTGGCCTTTAAAAGCCAGATTCCTGCCCTGCTCTTTGCTGGATGATTATCTCAGTCTTCCTCTCTGTGCCTCGTGTGTCTTCCTGCTTGTGCCTCCAGTCTGCCTTTGCGTCTTTTGTAAGTTTTATAGTTCGAGTTTTTTCCCTCGCATTTTTCTGAGGTGATTTTCAGTTTGTCTTTTGTTTTCTGTTGAACTTTCTAGTTGACTTTATATTCCTTTGTTACTTGCCCAATGTGGTATATTTGAGTTGTGCTTTTAGTGTCAGTGATTGTTTGAGTTTTTCTGTTATTTTTCCTGACACTTGTTTTTCTTCATTTTCAGTAGCTGTCCGTGCCTCCCAAGCCTCTTTACCCTGAGTGGTGATTTTATGTTGTTTTTGTCTTTTTGTTAATAAAATTTTGGTGATTTTGTCTCCGCAATATTGGGTCCTGGCCTTTTAACCGCTGTACAGAAAAAAGAGGACTTGAGCACAAACCGGTCTTACAGTAACTACATGTCAACATCGCAGGCAGGGGGGAGAAAAAATTATATTCTGTGTAATAAATTTCTAAAGTTTGTCCACAGCTCCATAGGGATTGCTGGAGGAGGTAGGATTTATGACCTATACTGCAGCCTGTCACCAGAGGGTGCTGTTCTCGCAGTGGCTTCACATAGCGAGGAGGCAGACAGTGTCCATTCTATATACAGTCTATGCTCTTACCCATAGAGTGAGGGTCTCATATCACTTCCCTCAGGAGTTACTGATGACTACAGTGTCAGGGGTAGCTAAAAATGATGGAGATAAATGCTGCACGGCTGCAACAGAGTCCCTGAAAAGTTGGCTAAATTATCCAACAATGGTGCCAAAAAATACTGACTGAAAGCGCTGCTCACTCTGTATTCTCTGCAGGTCTCAGGGTTAGCTGACCTGAAGTAATTAAAGCATGTATTGATGCATTCAAAATGATTTTACTGGGGATGACATATCCCCTTAATTCTTCCCCTCTGATTCAGGCCTCAAAAAAATCAATACTCAGAATCACTCTGTCTCTATTCATATAACATCCATTTACTTTTACAAAACACATCCACACATACTTAATAGACAAATACACAGTGCAGCGTTCATTCCCACTGTGATTTCAGCCTTTCATGGTGACTCATGCCCACTGCTGTAATGAGAGAGACGCCACAGAAACAGCAAGAGAAAGCATGCCGGCCTCTCATTCTGCTCAGCATGAATATTTTAGAGCTCAGATTTAATATTTTCTTGGTAGGAACTAAGTGGCTGTGACACACACCTGAAGATACAGACTTAGCAGTAATATTAGAAATCAGGATAGAAGGAAAAGGTTTGAGCACATCATGTCTGCCCTGAAATCACTCTCCTGATTGTTGCCTTTCAGCTTGTTTGTTGCTTGTATGACCAGAAAGCACAGTCGAGAGGAGGACTGCAGGAAAGCAGCGGGTTTCCTGTCTGGGTTTTGGATGAGAAACGGCATGACAGGGCCTCATGTGTTGATATCCACAGGTGGGCGGTATTATAGAGAGCTAATGAAAGGGAAATCAGACGTACTTCCACCCTCAGAGGGATGAACGATCTGATTCTGCTGTGGCCCTTTTTCTTGTAAGATCCTCTTACTCCACTGAAGCATCCAGGCGAGAGGCCACAGGCTCAGGTGCACATCAGCGCTCAGTGGAGCAGACAACAGCTCTGCCTGTGTGTCACTTTTATAACAGTTGTGCTCTTCTCCTTTTCCTGTGTGTGTGTTTAAATGTATTTGTGCCCACATGTGCAGTTGGAGGTGTTTTTTTATGTTGAGCAGTACTGTCAAACTTGCAACAAAAGCACCTGAACTTTTTACTGTCAGTCTGAAGTGTCTTTCTGGTGATGGTACTGTAAAAAAAACGCTCAGTCACGTTCACCTTTGCAGTGCGCACTTCGCTCAAGAGAACAACAATGCCAGTATGCAGCATGTTTCCCTGTGGACTGCTGCTCTTGCAAGCTGAGCCCAGAGACTCATGGGATATGGAGTGGAAGTATCCCAGGGGTCCATCACAAAGTTGGGTAGAGGACAGATTGTAAAGAAAGAGGTCATAAAGACCGAGTGCTGTGTCTCTGCTATAGCTTTTAAACAGATGTTTACTTCTGCTATCTGCTAATGTAAGAAGGCTTACATTGTGGAGACAGTGATCATTTAGCTTAACGACAAGAACCCACTTCAGTGTGTTACATTAACAGTTCAGTTAATGAGGAGGAGATACCAACCCGATTTTCAGACAGTGAGAACATTGCCTCATCAATGCCTCATCTATAAACTGTTTATCTGCTGTTTGTGAGTGAGGTTGAGCTGGTGTCTGAAAGTATGTTAAGGAGAGAGGGTGTGGACATGTTACCTGTACTGTGCAGAATTTCTTTGCTACACTTTTTACTTTTTTCTATGGAGCCTAGGAGGTGACATGAACTTTTTTTTTTTAATTGGCACATGTGATTTAGTATCTCGCACGTGCGTCTTAGTACATCGCAAGAGCGTTTCATTATATTGCAGGTGTGATTTAACTGTTCCTTAATAAACAAAATCACTTCCTGCAAGTCCAAATATCGCTAACGGCAAAGTTGCTGTGCTTTAAGGATCCTGATGAGGTGTCTACTACTCAAAACAATACCAAATGTGGCCAAACTATAAAGTATCTGTTTGTGAGTCATATCTAAATGAAAGAAAACGTTGATAATATGTTTTTGTAAGACACTGTGAAACATGTTGAAGTGATAAGAACTGGAAAACAGTCACTACATTTCATTCAAGTCATACTCATTCAAGTCTAGAAATTGCCAGGAACTTGATCCCTAGGAATTGTCCTAAGTTTACATGTAAAGGAGTAATGGTGGTATATGCACTTTTTGGTGTATTTAAATAATACATTTCCTCATTCCTTTGGGATCATAAAAGGTTATTATTGCACTGCTGGATCAATCTCTCCCTCTTATGTCACAGATACACTGACACACTGACTCTTGTCTGGACAGTTCAGTTCAGTCTATTTTGTTCAACATCAGCATTTCTACCCTCAGTAAAAATGGTGTCCTCATCGTGGCTCAAAGCTCTGAGTCAAATTCGCTGATGTATGTGTGTGCTGAAAATCCTGTGATGATCACAGCACAAACAGCGCTCAGCTGTGCCAGGCCTGTCACTCTGTTTAGACATGGAAGCTGCTTTTGAGGGACTGAAATTCAACACACTGCAGGACTAATTAGACTTGGACATGTTTGTCTGCTTTGTTAGCTGTTGAACGATAAATACAATGATGGGTTGAATCCAGTAACTACTGTTTGCTGTCTTGACTCCTCGGGCCTGAAGGGATGAAGAGCACTATCTGTCCAACTGTGGCACAAATGACTCTCTGTGGGATACTGCTGCTGCTGTTAGTTGAGATGAGATTCAGTTGTTTCAGAGCAGATTTAATCTTAACAAGCCCAGGCTGTTCTGGAAGTCTATAAAGTCACTATCTGGTGTTAGCAAAGGTGCTGAGCTTCCCTCTCGTATTGTCCAGGATTCACACATTATCACTGATAAGGCCTCAATACTCAACTTATTCATCGAGCATTTTATTTCCTCTGGGTCTCTGTTTGATAAAATGCACTGTTCAAATTAAACCCTCCCCCTTATTCATTATACACAACAATTAAGTGTTGAGTTATTTAGTGATAGGCCCGTACCTGTCTCTGAGGCGCACAAAGCCCTCAGACTCTTCAGTAATCTGGCAGGTCTGGATAATTTTATTGCCAGTCCTTTATCTTACTTTTTTCATATTCTGATAAAATACCCTGTGTGTGGAAATCTGCCTTTGTTCTCCCCCGGTTAAAAGGAGGAGACCCTGCACTTTTAAATAACTATATTCAACCATGTTACTATGAAACAGATGCTGATTAGTAAAGGACTGTCTGAACAATCAGTCCTATGGTTTAGAAATTATTTATCCAACAAATCACAGCATGTGCAGTCAGGTGGCTTTACCTCCAGACCTTTTAAAGGCATGGTTGACGATCTGAGAAGCAGTTGAAAAAAACTGAGCCGTTGAGGCAGATTTGAAAAAAGCGTCCCACCCCCCCACACACAAACCTCTCCCCTTTGTGCTCCATGATAACTCCCCCGAACCTGTATCGTCCTCCCCACGACACATCCTCTCTGGCAAGA